GTAGTCTAGTTAGCTGAATACAAGTAAAATGACATTTTGGATGAGTAATACTGTGTCAGGGAATCTTTGCTGGTATTTTTTGGATGATAACTATTTTTGGCTTCACAGTACCAAGTGTGCCCACCACATTCAAGAACTAGACTATGGATCTTTAGAGCTGTTAACCCTACCATGCGGATGTTAGGAAGCAGTGAGGTGAATCAGCCATCTCCAACATGACCCCAAATCAGACCTTACTATAATCACTATTTAAATACAAAGGATTTGATAAAAATGAAGCAACAAAGAATCAAAGATAATATAAGCATGGGTTGGCTATGTGCCACCTGTGGGTATAAAACCAGCTATTAATATCTAGCTTTCAAGTTGTAGTGGCTGAATACGTTTTTACCCAGGATATTTTTTAAGGTTATAACAGAACATTTGTTTTTGAAACTATTCACTTTATATTATTTTCAGATCACATGGCGAGATCAATCAGCTGTTTTTATCAGTGAGCTCATAGTGGTTCTCTGCCTCCCTCCCCCAATGTCTATCTATCATCCAGAAGGCTATTGAATACAAGATGGCTGGCAGTGAATGCTAAGGTCTAAACCGAAAGTTCTCCTGGATTAAAGCAAGTTTTCAGTGTTGTCCTTTTTGCATATTTTAGGAAGTTATTGGAAGTCTTTACAAAGAGAGACTGAGCTGCACTCCAGTGTAAGGTCTTCAGATCTACTACCATGTGCTAGAGCCAGAGTCAGAACAGAAAAAGAGGAAAAGAAGATACTTGGGGTCTTGTTTCCTCAGAATTCCAACAGAACGTCCCATAGATTTACAGAGCATTAGCTCAAAGTCGTTTGGTGGCTAATGAAAGGTTAATGGGAGGCACAGAACTAATGGCTTGCTTCCAAGTTACAAATGACTCCAGTGTACGAGAGACCATAAGCATTTGGCCAACATGGTGTTGTGAAGCAAATCACAGGTTTTCACTGACATAAATACAGTGAATTCTTCTGACTTTTCCCCTAAATCTCAGTTTACTCCCAATGAATTCCTCTTACATCATATCAGTAGTTTGGCAGCTCAAGCTGAATATGGAAAAAATGGCTTTGGTTCTAGAGATAATGAGGTTCTCTGAAGAGTGAATTAACTAACTCTGGAGGCAAGGCACTTCTGTTAGACATTTCACATTCTATTTGCCTTTATTTAAAACCCAGTAGTGAACCGGATATTTGTTCCAAAAATTTGCCTAATTTTTTTCTTTACAAGTTATGAATCTGAACATTATATATAATCAGTGATTATACTGTAGTGACAGAGATTTTTAATGGAATGTATAATTTCATTATTTTAACCACAATACACTTGCACCAGATATTTATAAAATATGTAATTCCACTAATAGATGTTCTCCATTTATTTCAGTTAGGCTTTAGGAATTTGGGGAGACCATCCTCCAAGTGACTCTGCTGCTTCTCACTGCCACAAGTGACCACATTAGATGTAACCGTGGCACACAGTGGGAAGGCTATGGGGTAATCTTGGCTTAAAGAACATATTCTATTTGTTGTCTTGTTTAACCCGGCATTCCAAGTTCAATAAAGAAAGTCATTTCTACATTTTTTAAAAAAATTATTTTTATTCATGTCAGTGTGTATCTGTGTGTGTAGGTGCCAGCAGAGGCCAGAAAAGGGCATTGGAACCCCTGAAATCACAGGTGGTTATAAGCCACCTGATATGGTACTGGGATCTGAACTTGGGTCTTCTGGAGGAACAGCAAGTGCTCTTAAAGTCTGAACCATCTCTCCAGCCCTGGAAAGTCACTTCATTGAATAAAAAAACAAAGGTGTCAAGGAAGCAGATGTTGGCTCAAAATTAGCGTTTGTTGTAACTAAGGGATCTTTAGAAACTCTCTAACTCCTGGCATCACATATAAAAAAATTTTTCCTTTCTATGGGAAAGGGGTAGTAATATGGGTTACATATGGTAGATAAAATTGTATGACGATTGTTCCCAAGCAAGGGACACCAAGTCACTACAGTCTTTCTGCATAGCTGCCTCAGAGGGAACACAGAATACTCCCTGCTTGAAGCCCTTTGCTTAAGCTTCTTTTTGTGTTAAAAGGATTGCCTCTCACCATGGGAGAGGTTGTAATTGGTTTTCACCATGAAAGGAGGTAATTAGATTTCTTAGCAGCTCCACAAGCTCTGTGCTTGGAAAAGCAAGACAAGGAGCCTGAATGTCCTTTCCTTCAATTGGATTATGTGGTCCAGACAAACCTGGAGACATGGATTTGAAAGGTACAGCAGAATGGGCCACACATGTGTCAGCCGCTCCTGGTCTCTGAAGGAGCAATTCCAACTTTGGCCTATAAGCACAAGGGCATGGCCCTGCAAATTCAAGATGGGAAGATGGACCTGTAATAGTTAAATAGTGCTGGGATATTGCACTTGGTAGGGAAAACAGGTAATTTCTCTGAATGGAACCCTCTGCGTCCTCCCTCTCTTTGTTCAGAAATTTTTATCTCCTGGAGGATAAAGTGTCTAAAATTTGACATGCATTAGCACATAGCTATCTAGATTGAATAAACAATCAGCCACTGTGGGTACTGTAGTTCATTTTGGGTTCTTTCTTGATGCAATTGCTTCTATTTTTGGAGTTTTTTCTAGATACCTAAGGTAAAGATAGAGCAGAGTTGATTTTTGTATTTGATTTCTTCCCAGTTTCTATAGCTTTTAGAACACTAATTAAATTAATATATTAATTTAGAATATGCATTTAAGTTCAAATTAAGTTAATTAAATTTGAAGCTCTGCATGGCTTTGCCACTTAAGCCTACTTAGCATGACCATATGTCTCCACCTGGCACTCTCACCTCACTGCTCCTCTTTTCTCTTTCTATTTCTCTTCCCTGTTCTCCTAAGATTTAACAAGCTGTGTGAACACTGAACTGGGGTGCCAATATTGTTGCCCATACCTCTGAAAAATTCCTCTTTTCTACTGATCACATCATACTTCAGTGAAATTTTAGTGCTAGTACTTGACTTAAGTCTGAACTGTCTTTGTTTTGCCTTGAGTTCCCCAGGCAGCTGAGGCTTCCAGTTTTAGATCCTTTTCTGGCAGCCTCAGTGAAACTCCTGAGTCCTCCTTCCCTTCCAGATAAAGAAGACTTGCTTCGGTGCTTTGATCTTGAAGACAGATGACAATTCTTTTTCATCTTTGTCTAAAGTTAAAGGATGTGGTATCCTATAAAAAGGAGAGACTTGCCTTGACTAGTCTCCCTGCTTTTCTTTTTTTCATCTTCTTACTAACATTTTGTTTCCTGGAATATATACAACCCTACTTCCAAATAAGGCCAGGTATCCTCTGTTGAGTTCGTTTATATCAGAGGAAGCCTGTAGGCTGCTAATTTTAGTAGTTATTATAGCTATGGAAAATTTCCTTTCTGGGAAAAATAGTAAACAAAACAATTATTATAAGTACCTCATAATCAGACTCAAACAGAACATTCTCCCTGTCTTTACAGGAGAGTCAAAGGCTTTGTTATCAGAGAACAAATCCTTTACTCATATTTTGGCCATGAAATGCATGCTGTTACCTGATCTAGAGTTAACACTGATACTTTAGGGCTCTTAAAGTATTAATGAGTCTCTGGGGAGAGCTCTATGTCATGATATTAAAGTCATCTGAAGGATGCAAACAAAGCTCTTTTAGTTTGAATTTTCTGCTGAGTCACCACGTGACATCAAGGTGTGCCTACATGGGTAATGAGGAGGATATTCTCAGACCCAGTGAAACAGAGTTCCTAGACCATAGTTACCTAATTGAACCTACCATCATGAGGGTCTTAGCTTGGGGAAGACAAGGTTCTAACCAGAAGTCTACAGAGATGTTAAGATACACATGCAATTTAAACCAAGTAGAGTCCATTCATGTAGTCCTAAAAGAAGAGGACTCTGTGGAGAGTTGGTTAAGATATACATCTCCCATTTCCCTGCTCTTTCTCAGAGGAGTTGAGTTGGTTGTCCATCAGTTTGTCACATTTTCCATGATATATTCTGCTCCAAGGTCTTTGCACAAGATGTTCACACTTACTCCTCCCAACCACCCTGTTATACACACAATTATCCTCTATAGAGTCTTCAGGTAAGGGGGAGTAATTTTTGACCTTGAGTAGAGGTCAACCTCTTTGCATACTCTTAGCAAAAACACGTTGTCTCATGACACACATACAGTATGTGCTGAAATATAGCATGGATTTTTTTTTACCCTCAAAATTCATGTGGTATAAAAGAAAGATTCATTGTCTATGCTTGTGCAGTCTCTCACATTAAAGTACACAGTCTCAGTTACTTCAATTTGAGTGACAAAATACCATTTCAGTATGTGCTGAAATATAGCATGGATTTTTTTTTACCCTCAAAATTCATGCGGTATAAAAGAAAGATTCATTGTCTATGCTTGTGCAGTCTCTCACACAGTCTCAGTTACTTCAATTTGAGTGACAAAATACCATCAGGGAAACATTCTGAAGTGATCTCAAGCAATAATTGTTTTCAAAGGTAGCTTTGACAAAATGGGTGAGAAAAGAGATAAAGCATACACAGTCACTATTCTTAAGGCATGACTTCATTGCTGCAAGGATTGAAATAACACAACTCTAGAAACCTCACTTACAGATTCAGGTGGTTTTACATGGGCCATTTAAAGAGCACTGGAAGAAGCAATATGATTAAAAGGTGGAAAATGTGGAAAGCATCACCGTAGAATGAGGACTTGTACCTGGGATCAAATTTGCTGAAGCAGCAGATTTTTCAAAGGTCTGTCACCAGCCACAGAAGGACTGGTGATATTCAGTATTAGATCATCCATCAGACTTCCCATGTATGAAGACTTTCCACAACATTCAGAAAATGTAAAAATGGGAAATCACTTTTATAAAGTATTTAAATGAAATGAGATTTAAAATTTGTTCATGAAACAGTAGGTTAGACATCCTAAGTATTATCATACATTACCCATTTGTGCATTTAGGTTATTCTAAACCAGTAGCCAGTCTCCTGTGGGGCGCAGGAGGAAAACAACCTAGAAAGGAAAGAATGAAAAATAGAACTCAACGTTGCTTGATAATGTATACTGCATTTACTATAACATCTAACCCATGTTAAAGGCTAGTTGCTAATTAATTAGAAAAATGAAGATGGCTTTGTCCTCAAGGTCACCTTATGTTTAGGCATACATAATTTCCATTAATGTGATGATTTGATTAATGTCCATCTCCTGACACACAGCCCCCAAAGAACATAGCTCTGTCCAGCTTAGATCCCTGTTGCATCTCTGGTATTTCATAGGCTATAGAACACTGCATACATCCATTGTTTGAGGCATCAGATAAAAATATCGCTTATTTAAATAATTGCCTGACCCAGAAAACACTGGAGAAATGCATTATGAAAGCTAATGCTTTCAGGAAAGATGTTTTAATAACTTTTGTTCTAGTGATGATCAAGATGAGAAAAGTCTTTTTCATTATTTAAACTGTTAAAAAAACAAAAACAAACCCCCAAACCAATAATTATTTCTTTTCTTTTCTCTTTACAAACTTAGTGGTCCACATTTAGGTGATGATTTTTCTGAAGCTGCTATCACAATTTACTCTTTGGGAGGTTCCAAGTTCAAAAAGACCATTTCTATCAGTATTAGACTGTCTCATGAAAAGGATAACAACTCTTCCTTATGATGCACTCATCCATTATCTCAATTATCTTATAACGATACTATAAATTGGCTTTTATTCTCTTTTAAATATAGGGGAAACAGGCTTTTGAGTTAGCAACTAGCCTGTAACATGGGTTATATGCTATAATAAATAATAAGTAAATGCAGTATGCATTATCAGGAGAGGTGGTTTCTGTTTTTCCTCCTTTCCTTTCTAGGTTGTTTTCTTCTTGTACCCCAAAGGAAACTGGCTACTGTTTGAGTTGTTTTTCTTGTTCATTTTCTTAATACCTCCTATTCACTGAATCTTTAAAGGAAACATTTAGCTACTGCAACTGGTGTACATAAGTCAGTTGCATAATAGGAAAGAAATGAGACAGGTCTGGAGACTTCATTTCCAAAGAAGGATTTTGAGGCCAACAAGAGCTATTTCACAGAGCCGGTCATGACTTGGGAATCGCTCTATACCCTTTCATCACTATGACAACAGGCTGCTCCTGCTTCATGAAGCCAGAAAAAGCAGCTGACGTCTCAATGCTAGGGACATAGGGGAGAGGTTTACAAAAAACACAACAACAACAACCAAAAAGCCCTTTTGTTTGAATGTCAACAGAGAGAGGAAAAAATACCCCTAGAGCAAGTCAAAACCCCTATTCTTGCCTTCAGAAAAGACCTGAAAGGAAAAATGTTGGGGGCCTTTCCCTCTTGTCCAAGTAGGCCAGTAAAGCAGGATTGACCGGGAGTGGTGTGGCTCCTCTCCGCCTGGGGAAAGGCTGCAGCTGAAAACCTCTTTCATTTGACTTGGCCATAAAAAAGCTTCTAATTGATGAAGGAATAGAGACTGTCAGTAACAAATATCTCATGTTGAAAATGGTTTCTTTTACATTTCTTTTAACTAAGAAAAAAAAAAAACAAAGAAAACTCAAAGACTCTTTCCTTCTTGATATTCGGTTTTACTATTATAAACATCAGTCCAAGTGCATAACATATACCTGATAACATGAGGTTTCTTATGGCAATCAGTAAAATTTCTTATGGTCTAGTATTCTGTCAGGTACCATACTTGTATTTAATGAGTATTTCATTTGATCCTTGCAAGGACCCCATTTATGGGTATTCTTTGCTTATTAGATGGTTAACTGAACCCTGGTGGTAAGAAATGACTGGTCAAGCTCACATAGCTTGTGAGGCAGAGTCAGGATTGCATTCCAGGTGTCTCATACTCTGCAGCCCATACTCTGTACACTCCGCTGTGTGGACTCAGAGACTCCTTTCTGATACCGAGGAACTGTTATAGACAGAATGCATAAGTCCAAGGGGGAAACCCAGAGTCTGTTCCCTTTCCAGAGTTTGAGTTGTGACCTATAGCTAGACCAATACTCTCATATTTGTTATGATTATGTAATATATACTAGGCATAGATACGTTTCCTCCTTTGTTCTCACATCAAATTTCTGCAGCATCTATTGTTTTATCATTGTCCCACAAATGAGGGCACTAAGGCACAAAAAGGTGAAGTTGTTTTTCCTCAGTCCCACAACTACTTAGTGTGAAAGTCTGGATGTAAACCACACCTATGTAATCTTAGGTAAACCAGAGTTACATGGTTATGTGATCATATATAAACCAGAACCCCATGGTTTTTCTCTTGTTAATTGGATTGGCTATCTTTGAAGCAATTAGCCTTTTCCAGAGTTCTGTCCATACTGTGATGTCCATGGCAAAAGCAAGACTGTCTCTAGGTGCTAATACATCTCAAGTGCATCCTTTAGCAGAAGACAGCCTGTGAGGCCTGTAAGAAGCAGTCTCTGGAAAGTTCTCCTGGATTTATGGGGGCGTCACTTTTCCCTCACTGAAGATTGTTCCAGAGTAATAAGAGAGTAAAACACATCTTAAACCATTTAACAAATTGTCTATGTCCTTGATGGAAAAATGTTGCCAACGTGCTTTGGACATTGAGCTAAATGTAACCAATTTAACAGTGTTCATGTACTGCTGCTACCAGTCAGCCGAGTAAGAGGAACAGTCACGGGGAAACGAACTGCATCAAGTTTGGGAGTTGTCCACATGTGTCACTGTGCACTTCACTTCTGTCATCATCGTTTATTATTTTTACTCAGCTAACACATGAAACTGTGCCATAATAGGCTATGGGGATTAAATCCTAAAGGACAAGGAAAAGAATTCCCAGCATTCTAACTGTTCAATGACTGTGCAAAATTCTCTGAAAAAAAAAAAGGGAGGGGTGGTTCAAATAGTATACATATTCTTATCCCAGATGTGGAGAGTCACATAAATTAGTTAGATGACAGGTGAAGAAATAGACTGCTTTGCTTTGCTAGGTCTCATTAGATGATCCAGAATTTAAATCTTTTCTAAGAATGGTGTCTTAAAAAATACCACTCATAACCAGCAAGATTTAACTGAGTAAACTGTCAACTGAAAAACTGATATCAAGAGAAAGTGGAGAATTTAAAAAAAAAAGATTTTTCTGAATTGGACGGTGGACACGTTTCCATTCAGTGTGCTGAGGCCTGCGCCAGAGAAGACGGATATAATGCCAAGGTGACATGTTTAACCTCTTTGCAGAAGAAAGGCAGTGCAATGAGCCGTTCCTGCGGCAGTGGCTCTTAGTGTACTGTTTCAAATGTATTGGTCTGCAGCTGAGTGCGCGGTAGCTGTCTCCTGTAGGTGACCTTTAATACCTGAAGTAATGAGAAAGCAGGACTTAAATAATGCTGTGTTTGAGAAAAGAGAGCCAAATGGGATGGCACCTTATGAAAGCTTCAGAAGCTCTTATGAAAGCCTTTTAGTTCTTCTTTCTTTTTGCTTTTCTAAAAAAGACATTATCAGGAATTAGATAAATTGAGGTCCCCTTGGATGCATTTTAACACATGATAGTAGGTGACAAGAAAGGACTTATACTGCTAGAGGAAGGACTTGGGAATGGATAATTCAGAAATAACCAAACAAGAATATAATATTAGAGAGATCTTCCTAACGCTGAGAAAAATAAAGTGTTTCAATCCTACATTGCTGTTAGGTATGTGATAGTGCTTGGATAACTTTAGATAATTTAAACATGAATATGCACAAATCATTTGATTTTGAAACTTTACGTTTGCTTTATTTCACATATTTGGTGAAATATTGATATAAAACACATTTTAAGATTCAGACTTTACTGAGATCAGAATGCTGCTCAAACAATTCTAGACTTCTGTTCTTGGTTCTTACTAAAATTATCATTTATTAGTATGTGCTATTTAATCTTGGAGGAGAAAAAGAAACACAACTACAAATAAAATTCCCCACTGAATTTTTTTTCTTTAAATTATATAAAGTGGAACTTTAAAATATATAAATAGCTTTGTATTCTTTAAGCAAAAAATATTACACAGCTTTATCAGATCATGGAAATCAGTTTAAACACATGCGCTTGAACAACATAGCAAATTTATTAACATTTACCTTCTGAGAAGTGGCTGGATCCAGGGCCTTGGTAGAAGACTGAAGCTAAAGTTGAATCCCTTCTTTGCACACAGCCAGGAAACAGAAGTTTGACAAACACCCAAGAGAAACTCTTTCAATCCCCTTCCTCTTTAGCTTGGCTTCTTTGCCTTGAAGCACATTCAAATTTATTGGAGTTGAAATTCTGCTGCTCTGTCAGCCAGTCAGGGTCTGAAGTGACAGATGAGAATTTGGAGGCTGGCACCACAGGGTGTTTCAGGCTGTCACCGTTTTTGTTGCAGATTCCTGGATCTCTCTCCCTCGCTGCCGCTGAGCTTTGCAGGCAGTGCAGACCCAAAGGGAGAGAGCTAATTCTGCTGCGTGCATGCAGTGAACAGCCCTCCCCTAAGCTCTTGTTCTCACAGGCTCTTAACTTGGCCAGAATGTAAGCACTTGGCTCTTCATGCACCCCCCCCCCAACAATGCTGATCCCTTTGGGGAGATTTTTATTTAAAGACTTTGAAAAGTAACTAATACTAGTTATTTCTGTTTTTCCCTTAGGGTGATTGGGGAATAGAGGTTAAGGAAGAAAAGAATAATTGTAGCAGATGCATTTTTACATAGCTCGATTGGAAATTGTTCTCATAAATGCAGCTTGAATGTTAATAGCAAACAGCTCCAGCTACTTTAGCATTTGAGAAAGCTCTGGAAATCTAGGTTGCTACTTACAGTGCACAAGTATGCTTGATCGAGAGACACTGCAGTTCACAGACTGTTCTTCCAGCCTAAAGTCCCTCCTCTCAGCCCAGGGTGCTAATGCTTGGTATAGAAGATGGAATTTTCCTGAGAAAGGTGTGCTTATTTTTGGCTTTGCATTCTGGCTTTTTAACTCACCATGCAGACCATGGCTGGCCTTGAACGGAGATCGGCCTGCCTCTGCCTCCCAAGTGCTGAGATTAAAGGCAGGCACCATCATGTCATGCCCTTCATTCTGGTTATTTCTGTATGCATCTCATTACTTCTGCTACTTTTATATTTATTGCATATTTAGTGTGTCAGGCCCTGTGCTAACAGCTTTTCATGTGTTCTATCAGTTAATTCTGACAAGTCTGTTGGAGGTTTTAATGGAGGTTTTTCCCATTTAAGGGGTAGGTTAGTACAGTGGATTAATCTTTAGGATTTGTGACCAACTTGCAACTTGGATTTGTATCTTGGCTTTGCTACTTTCTAACTGTATGCCAGAAACAAGATTTCTGACGTCTCTAAGTTTCAGTGTCATTAGCTATAAGATGGGGCTACAAATGTGGAAATGGTAATAGGATCCAATTGTTGGGTTTTAAATATAAGTAAACTGCATAGAACACCCCTTATCTTCTAGCATATACTTAATAAATGCTAACTATTATGGTTTGTGTAGAAGGGCAGCAAAGCTTGTTAAGAATGTATTTTTTTCACAGGACATGGTGGCACAAGCCTTTAGTCCCATCACTAAGGGAGGCAGAGGCAGGCAGATCTCTGTGAGTTCAAGGTCAGCCTGGTTTACATAGCAAGTTCCAGGCTACTAACTGGAGCTACAGGGAGACCCTGTCTCAAAAAAAAAAAATGTATTTTTCCAGGACTGGAGAGATGGCTTAGCAGTTAAGAGCACTGGCTGCCCTTGCAAAGGACCTGCATCCACCTGGAGGCTAACAATATCCGTACCTCCAGTTCCAGGAGAATCTAATGCCTTCTTCTGATCTCTGCAGGCACTGCACGACACAGATGCACTTAAACACATGTAGGTGATACACTCATACACATTAAAAAAAATGTATTCTTTCCAGAATCTCTAATTATAGCTAGGAGAGTGCGATTGTCCCAGCTTCACACATGTGATGGTCAACTGACTAAGCTGTGAAGTTCCTTGACAGGGAGATGATGCTCCTCTATCCTCCAGGTGCCTAGCACAAATGCTTTCAATACTATCACTGCTCCATTAACATTAGATGAAAAGTTGTAATTGAATTTAATTTATATTTTCTGAATGTATGACAGAGTCCAGCCCAAAGTAAAACAAACTGATGAAAAAAAAAAAAAAAAAAAAAAAATAAAAAAAAAAAAAAAAAAAAAAAGAAAAAGAAAAAAAAAAGCAAACAAAGTCCCCAGTTAAAATGTTAGGCAAAAAGGCCCTCAGTCACATTTTTCCAAGTACCCCAGAAACATTTCCCTTGTTTATTTTCAGAACACAGAAAGAGAAAGGTAGCAAATATTATCTCTGTTTTGCAGTTGGGGAAATTTGGGAGCAGAGGAAACTGGGCAATTTGCCTAAGAGCCCACACTGAGTCTCAGTGTGGCTGGGAACGCTGTGATCAGGATTTACTTGCCCCAAATGCCTTTCCAGAGACAGAATGAAAGGATGTGATGATTCTATGCCTCAGACAATGGGATGTTTTTCCTTAGCTAAGGTCTAGAGTGTGAGCAGTCTCCTCAAGAGGAAGGAGAAAGGGGCGGCTGTGTTGGTCTTTGTTTCTCCCCAGCCTCTGTGCACATCTGGTCTTAACAGTGTAGAAGACATAGCCACCATTTCTTCAATGGTCTCCTGAGGGACCTGGGAGTGGTGAGATCATTAAGGGTATATAGCAAAACATTTCCTGGGGCTGGAGAAGTGGCTCAGTGTTATGAGCACTGACTGCTCTTGCAGCCGACCTGGGTTTGGCTCCCAGCCATCACATGGTGATGAACAGCCATCCTTAACTCCAGTTCTAGGGATCAGATGCAGTCTTCTGGCCTCCTTGGACATTACATGCATGGGTGCACTTTTATATATGCAGGCAAATATATACATAAAATAAAAGTAAAAATAAGTAAATTAAAAAAAAAGCAACTGAGTGTGGCAGCACACCTTCAATCCCATGCTAGGGAGGCAGAGGCCAGTGGATCTCTGTGAGATTGAGACCAGCCTGGTCTGCACAGCAAGTTCTAGACCTGCAAAGAAAAATATTTCTTAAGATTTGGCCATGTTGGTTAAAGAACTTTCTCAAAGACGCCAAATATTAATTTCTTATTTTAACTAGTACTCCCCATTTATTTGAGATATCTTTATAAGATTGATCCAGTTAGTGAGTCAATTCAATGAGAATAGAGGGTTTTAGCTGGAGAATTATTGAAAAAACTTTTTTTTTTGATCTTTTTGAGATAGGGCCTTCTGTCTTCCTGTTGGCCCAGCTGGTCTGGAACTCACTATGTAGTTGAAGGTGTGCGCCACCATGCCCGGAGGAAAAAATTTTTGACCAACTAACATATTTCTCTTTTTAAAATTGACATATTTCTGTGAAATGATCAAAATGAAGATTTTTTAAATATAGTTTAAGGAGAACTGAATTTATGGTCTAAATGTAATTATATGTAGGAAGAGAGCTCATTTGTAGCTTGTAAAACTTGAAGATTTTGACTCTCGGTTTTACAGAAATTTTATTGATATGTAACATGATTAGAATAGGTCCCCTGTTTAGTTATAAGAAATTCAGAATGCTGCAATTTCTTTTAACTACAAACTGTTACAAATAAGATGAAAGGAAAAATGACTAAAAACAAATAAAAAGGGCCTTGAATTCATAATGTCTTTAAAGTATGGTTTTATTTTGGGAACGTTCACTGGCAGATATCCAAACTTTTATTGTTTGTGACACTGCCATTCCTAAAATAGCTTACAGCTTATAAATCTGATGATAACAGCTCTACAACAATATCCACCTAACAGATGGAGTAGGAGATCAGACTTAGAAAGTTTATATAATCTCTACACTCTGTGGTAGAACTTTGATAGAGAACTTATTCCGTCACTGCATTTGAAATGACACCAGAATATCAGCATTGGTCAAAAGATGTGACACATGCGAACATGTTTAACCTTCAGTGTTAAGAAGCTGTCTATAGGCTACCCCCAGCCTCCTGCCCAACTCAAGAATTCTAGGAAGGTTAAGAACTCCACTTTAAGGAAAGGATTAGAGAACACATTTCAGTCATCCTTTCATAATCGTGGTTTCTGGATCTGCAGATTCTACCAACCACAAATCAAAAATAACATTCATAAAAATCTGTCATTACTGAATATACACAGATATTTTTCTAGTCACTTCTAAACAGTGCAGTATAACAACTGTTTACTTGGCATTAACATTGCATTACATCTTACAAATAGTCTAAAGTTGATTTAAAGTATATGGCAAGATGTGCATAGGTTATATACAAATACTCTGCCATTGCATTGAGGGACTTGAGCATCCATCACTTGGTATCTGTGAGTCCTGCAGTGAGTGCTTGTAGCTGTGGAGGGATGACTGCAATCATTTCTCAAACATGGCCTCTGTATTCAAAGCTCACCCCCAGTGATGTGCTTCTTCCAGCCAGGCTGTGTCTCCTAGGTATTCTGTGACTGTCCCCAAACAGTGCCACCAACTGACCAGGTGTTCAAACACTTGGGCTTATGGGGGACACCTCGTTCAAACCGCCACAGGCCCCTTTGTTTTCCAGCATAAGTATCTGAGTGAAAGAGAGGATATCAAGAGCCTGCCTATTAGGAGGCCAGGAGTTAAGGGGTATGCTTATTGTCAGAATGTGACACTAGTCCCTTAAAGGAATAGAGCATACCAGGTAGAAAGTGAGTAGAGGTGAAGGAAAGGAGCAGGGAAAACAGAATGTCTATAATAACCTTGCCTGTGTTCTGCCCTCTAGGACTCTCTTGCTTGCCCAACATAATTTACTAAGACTCACATAACAAAATGCCACAAACTGGGTAGTTTAAACTATGGTTCTGGAGGCTGGAAGCCCAAGTTCAAGTGTTGTCATGTTACGTTTCTCCCAAGGCTTCTTCTTCTTGAGTTGCCTTTCAGGGCTACAACCTTATGACCTCATTTAAACTTATCTCTTTAAAGCCCCTGTCTCTAAATATAGTAACATTACAAATTAAGACATAAATTTCTTTGAGTGAGAAATGATTTTTTTCTGTAATACTCCACAGTGACTTGGATTCCTTGGTATTTAGTTCTCTGTGGGGTTTGTTTCTAAGACACACTCAGGTCTTAATTCCGGTTCAGTTACTGACTTCTGCATGTAGGCACCATCACAGCATCCTGGCACTTGATCTCTCAGCTCGCTCTTCGGAGTCACCACTGCCTGGGTGGGTTTCTGACTGTGTGCTCTTGTAGAATTTACTATAGCCATTTTATCTCTGCACAGTTCTTCCATGAGGTCATTCATACCCTCTATTAGGTCTTAGAAAAGGCTTGGCACAGGGGAGAAAATTAATAGGTAAGAGGATGGAAGGATGTATGCAGCATTTTGCTGAGTCTGATGTGGCTATTGAAATTAACTTCTCTACTAATAA